AGAATTCTGTAAAATGTATTTATAAAAGATAAAATGTTAAACATTTAACAAAAGTAAATGCAACATTGAGAATGAACGGATTCCATAAAACTGGTTTATATTTGGTAAATTCTGTGAAATTAAGTAAAAAAAAAAAATTCACTGTTTTTTTTCTAGGATTGATTGTGTTCATGGGGTGCAGTCTAACATGTGTTAATGCTTCGTTTTTAAAAAAACGCATTATTTTTCACATAATTTACCTTTATTCCACACCGCTCTGTCCCTTCTCTTAGAAACGGGCTGATCTTTTCCTGTTTTTATGAAGCCCCGCCCTCAGAAATAGGCGATGGGCTCTGATTGGTTAGCAAGCCCAGTGTGTTGTGAGTGGCTAAATCGCCTCTAGTGTGCGTCTTAACGTCGCGCCCCTCACCTCAGCGGCATGTGCTCCGGTTGTATTGTAAACAACGGCGTTGTTAATATCGCTTATCAGTTTGAGCCCGATTGAGAAGCAGAGGATATTATTGAAGAGGATTGTGCAGAACCTGTACAAGCATGGCTTTTAATGGTAGGCCTATGTTTTTTGTTTGTTGTTGTCTCATACTTTTAGATATGCTGTTATTTGTAAATGTTACTGCTTATGTTAGCTTTTAATATACGGTTTTATCCTGATTAAAGCTTTAATACAGTATGGCAACTACACACGCGTCCATGTTTAACGCTTCTCATAACTATGTGAAAATAAGTGTATAAATGGAACAGAACTGAGTTGTTGATCTAAATGAGAGAGAGAGAGAGGCCGAGCAGGCGACGCGAGGAACGGTTTTAAGAACTGCTGCTTTAGAACATTGATTTTGAAACTTGTGAATCCATCGTTAGAAGACAGAATCGCGATTCATATATGAATAGATTTTTAAGTGCACACCTAGTTTTCTCTTCCTCTTCTCTAAAGCAGTGCAGCATGGCCTCGACCCCGTTGCTGCCTTTTCCCGAGGGCGGGGTTTATCTGGGTTTGTGATGTCACAAACCCGGGAAGTAACTCGTTGTAGTCCCTACCAGCCGTTTTTGTAGGCATTAAACTGCCAGAATTTTAAAAGACGATATCTCCGTTTGCATTGAACTTTCAGCTTCGTAACTTAGCAGATATTGTTTATGCTCAAACAGCAACATTACACACTAACTAACATGAAAAAAGTGAAATCTCAATCAACCACCCCTTTAAACAAATGCAACATTGGGAATGACAGAATTCCATTAAAAATTCAAATTTGGGAAAATCTGAAGAATTACATAAAATGTAGTTATAAAAGGTAAAATGTGTTAAATGCTGATGAAAGGCAGCTTAAAGCGTTAATAAACAAAAATGTAACAAACGTAAATGCAACATTGAGAATGACCGAATTCTGCAAAATAGATTTAAATAAAATATGGAAAAATTTGCAGAATTACATCAAATAGATTCACACATGGTCACATGTATCTCAAAAGGCCAATAAATGCATTTTTAAATTAGCCACAACATTTAATAAATGTTCATGTGCATAACGGGTATTTAAATTCAATAGATGTTTGTGGAACTTTATTTCATTTAGACCTGCACATAACACACTCAGAAACTAAACCTGAACAATGATTGTTTAACACACGCATAAGAACTGCCATTTACTATAGTAACATCATGCAAGTGGCCACAAAGTCCATTGTTCTTACACACCGCCTGCCAAACCTGTTCACTTCCCATTTAAAAGTGAAAACGACAAACAAACTGCCTCCTGCAATGAGACCTGAACTTCACTGCAAATATGCCATCAGGTCTCACACATGCACTCAGACACTGCTGTTTTTGTAGTCTAATGAGGTACATGTCTGTGAGTGTAGTAATGTGTTCATTAAGCACACCATCTCCCCACGGCATTGTAATTCTGCAGCGCACGGCAGTATGGACACAACCCACACTAATTACAAAGTGCATTGAATTAAGACCGCACCGGGAGGGGGGCCAGAGACACAGAGCAGACAAAGAGACAGGAATGTGAGTCTGAGTGGCATGAAAAGCAGTTTGTGAGATAGTTAGACGAGAAAGTGAACAGTTTCGGGTGGTAAGAACATAAAACCTACTGAAGCGATCCAGAAAGAAGAGTGAATGAGAGGAAAAAGTGCGAGAGAGAGAGAGAGAGAGAGAGAAAGAGCAAAATATAAATATTTTATATTATAAAATATAAAAATGTATATTTTGCTTCTATAAATATGTCTAATCCCTTATTTTATATCTAGTTTATATACTTGCATACATTAGTAATTCATTTTGCACTACATGCTTAATACTTTTTATATATTATAACTATTATTATTATTCTTTTTCTTTCTGTTAATACATATGTGCACTATTTGTAAGCAGTCCAGCTGCAATTGCTTTGGCAATAAAAAAAAATTGAGAGAGAGAGAGAGAGAGAGAGGGGGGGGCGAGTGGCAGGGGACCTCAGGGAAGCCACTCTGAAAGGTTCCAGGGACAATAGCCCTCCGTTCACAGGGCAACAGAGGAGTTCTCCCATGCATGTTCTTTTCCCTCCCCCAACACGTTACCCCCACCAACCCCACCCCTCTCTCTTCTTCAAATAAAAGAAGCACTCCTGCCTCTCTCTCCTTTTCAGTGGCCCTCTTTTTCCATAAGTCTGTGCCTACTGCAAAAACCACACACATAAAGGGCACTTCAGACAGACAAAATGCAACCTACCATCTTCAAATAATGCGAAAGAGAGTGTATAACCAGAAGCAGACACTTTGAGATGCTGGAATAACATGTAAACATACAAATAATTAGTGTGCATCACAGCTGTTTACAGCCCCATCAGTGCTGCTGACAGGCTTTGAAGTCCATCGGACCCATCCCGTGACCACAGGAGGCCACATCCTGTCCAAACTAACGAGGGAGACACGCATACACTCTCTAAACGCTGTTTGAAACGCAGAAAAGACTGGGTGGCAATGCACTAGCTATTCATAACTGAAGTAAAGCGCATCTCTGCGCGTAAGAATACATTAATATTTCAGCACGGATCACGTCAAGCATGAATGTCACGAGCCAGTTGCTCCGAGACTTCCGTGCGTGAGCGAGGACTTCTCTTAAAAACACTACATGTGTGTATTATTTGAACACTCTCGGGTTGAATTCCATAAGTTTTTAGGGTTTGTTAATTACTAAACACTTAATGTAAAGTTGCGGAATTCTTTTATGTGTTATATTCTTTGATAACAGTTTACTGATACAGCACTTTCAGTCGTAAGTGATTATGTTGATCTGATATAGAAACTTTTTTTGATTTATTATTCTTAGGAGGACATATTCTACATTTATACGGCACGCAACGCACGCTTGTTATTGCACACTACAGCAACGTTATGATTAATATAACAGAATAAACAGCAAACTAAAATAAAACATCAACAATTATATCATCAACATAATCTCGCCATTAATTAAAAATAAAAAACAAGAATCTAAATAAACTGCCCACTAAAGAAACCCAAACCTCATGTTCCATTTATTATATAAAGCGCGATAAAACAGTAAATATAACAAGTGCAATATGACAAAATAACTACATTAGCGAAAATAAGTAACTGTCTGATGCTTACCAAAAGTGAATTTTGTTGAAAAATATATTCGCTCACATGTCCAGGCTTTCAGCGGTCTGGATTGCCATCCTGTGTCTCCATCTGACCATTCCAAACAATCCGCTTGGGGCGTGGCTTATTGGGTTGTTCGCACCAATCAGCATTTTAGAATAGGAATTTAACGCGCCACCATTTGTCACACTCAGCCTATCAGATGAGAGGCTGAGGATGATTGACAGAGATTCCCCGGTCATTAAACGATAGGGCGGCTGTGTGAGGGCGGGCTCTATCCGGGGCTATTAGGTGGGCTTTAAACACACCACAGCAAAAATACTTAATAAAACTAAGGCTACTTTTTATACAAGCAAAAATATAATTGAAAACACCCTAAACAGCATTTTAACAAACGTTTGGTAATTGGCACTTTCTATGACTAGGGTATAAAATAGCGCGAGGGACCGCAAGGTCCACGAACCATGGGGTGGTGGGGGAAGTGTTGATTGAAAATGTTGATCGATTGTTACCAAAACTGGGACAATATGTCTGAACATATTTTAAAACCCTGATTCATGTGGCTTGGAGCAATAAACAATCAAATTAATTAAACTTCAAAATGTTATAAAATAATAATAAAATAATTTTAAACATTGGGTCACAGAACTGAAGATTTAGTCCAATTTAAGATGTTAAGCATTCAGCAGGAGTTAAAAATAAAAGTAACTTTTAAAATGTAAAATTAGTTAATAGTTTAACAATTACTACTGTAATTAAATATCAATTCAATAAATTTAAATGAACTAAAATTGAATCGAGTCAAGGCGGCCAAAATAATTTTAAGGGAGGCTAGTTTTACTATAGAGAATCAAGAAATAAATTAAATATGGGACTTATGAGCCCTATTAAAAATCATGGGAACGTGCAATGTGGCGATTCTATTTAGAGCAGTCTGAGCCATTAATTAGCTCATTTAACAGTAAGTCACGATGTTTATGTAATCATTGTTATAAACCGTAACACACCACAATATAATAGTCCTTTGTAACAGCCTTAGTAATAAACTAAAAAAGCAACAGGCAGAAAACAATCGTTCCTGGCCGAGCTAGCACTAATATAAAGCTTTTACAAAAATCTAATACAGCTTCAAATGCACTACTGCTGTACACCAGTGAAATAACCTCAAAGATTTTTCTTCATAAAGTATAAATATCATGCATTCAATAAGGAAAAAATAAAGACAAGACAAAATAAAGATAACAGCCATAATTCCTAATGAAAATGGACTCAACTAAACTGCTAAAAATTTATATAAAATAAATAAATAACGCAACATATTATCACCCTGGAAATGCATGTCAACACTCACACAAACACACAAATCTTTTCCATTTTTTTTTTTTTTTTTTTTTAACGCTTCCACTTTTATTGTCAGGATATTTGTTTCATGTAAAATATTTCATTACAATACAGTACAATGCATGTTCAATCTGCTGTCCACACAACGTTTGTCATGAAGTTCTAAGGCCGATCTTTCACGCATAACAGCCGGTCTGACAGCAAAATGGAAGTTGCTGACCTCTCCTAATGTAAAACCAAAACATTAAATTATTAACTACTAAAATCAAGTTTGTGGTTTCTTTTATACCGCCTTCTACCAGTATGATCCAGCAGGGGGCACTAGAGGTTCTCATTATGCTTCAGTCAGCAGCTCCAGCACAGAGAATTCGGTCCCCAGCAATGGGCTAAAAGAGTGAGTGCTTCAGTATTTGTATGCATGTGTGTGAGTGTGTGTGTGAGAGTTAGTGTGTGTGTATAAGGGCAGACGGAGAGACAGACAAACTGACATACGTCATTCTGTCTTTGCTGGCAGTCACATAGCAGCTTTAAGTCTTGGGAGAGGCCAACGGATTTCAAAAGTGAGGGCAAGAAGGACTGGGGCTAAAGAGATTGGATGGTATGGTGGATCTCCACCTCACTCCAAACCAGTCTCACTACATAGTGCAGCTGTTCAGTACCACATATGGAGAATGTTTGTTGCTTTTTTTGTGTTTATCACCAATGGAACAAATACCCGCTTTTCATCAGCTTTTTTCATTTGTTTTCACTTAGAGTCTGTTATTTCTTTCTTTTTTTTCTTTCTCCTTTTGTCAGCGGAGGATAATGTCGGCTGTATGATACGGTGATGTGTTGTTAGGTTACAGTTACTGTTCCTGCGGTTGAAATGCTGCACAGCAAAGCCAGTGGGTGGGGCGGTTCGGCTCAGGTCCACACCCGCCTCCCTAAGTACATTCTCCCTATTGGGCACTGTGAGAGGGGGGCGTGGCCTGACTCAGTAGCGGTGGGTCTGGTGTGAGTACTGTGGAGGCTGCTGGGAGGTAGAGGAGTATCCCATGCTGCTTTGGGGCAATGATGTGCTTGGTCCTGGGTTCTGGTAGGCAGCATGTGGATTGGAGCGCTGGAACACAGAAGAACTTTCATTAAGGTTTCCTGCATGCTTTAGAAGCAACACACTTCAATGCATGGTGTCCAACTGACTGTTTTTAAGATCTTTAAGTAGCACTTTGCTGCTCATGCATGCAGCAGCAAGTACTCAAGACAAATGAATGCATGTAAATGGAATCTTGCTGAAAGAAAGCTTGGAGGAAGATGGACTGAGAGGCTTTCGCAACAAGAGGACCAAAATGAGACGACAGTCCACTTTGAAGACATATATATATATATATGCAAAACAAAATAAAATCTCTACAAAATATAGTTTGTCAGACAGCATAGTACGGCCATATGCAAACGTGATGCTGATGCATCCAACGAGTGAAATGCCCGCTCTCAGCTGTAAATTCATCATAGGGAATGTTAAGTCGCAATGGCAATGCACCGGAGTTAGTTTATCTGAGGATATTAAGCATCAGGCCAATTAAGCATTAGGCCCACATTTAAGTGAAAATTAATGGCAGGTAATATGCATCTTTTTGTTTGAAACCAGTGTAGAACACGGATTCACACAAGGTCACATCACGCACCTGCAGCGTTTCTGTGAACAGAGAAAATGGAATAAAACTATATAGAATACATAAAAAGAAATATATAGGCCTATACACGAAATATATTTCACTTAAATCATTAACAGATTAACAAAACAAAAAATTGTGCAGAGTTTGGAATTGTGCTGAGTTCGTAACGCGCTCCGAAGTTCATGGAAAGGAAAGCAGTTTTCTTTATTTTGCAAAAGCTTTACAGTTTTGAATCACATCAGTGCCCCACACGCACATACAACATATTTTTGCTAACTTGACATTGCAGCCTGTTCATTATCAAAATAAAATACAGTTAAAGATACATAAAAAGTTACACTGCTCAATTTAAATAGTCCGTAGTACAGTCTGTGCCGTTCAGCATAACCAGTGCCTCACTGCTGATATAGCCTATGTAAAGGATGAGGTTTTATGTCGAAAATGGGAGTGAAGAACAAAGCCTATAGTTTACATAATAATATTTTAGCATCCAGATACGTCATGAATATGGAAACCTGTGGATTCGTGCAGAATGAGAGAGGTAGGCTTTAGTTTCACTTTTAAATTAATTCGTTTTGGCTTACAACATTAGAGGATTTGTTGTGGAGAGAAGGGAACTAAAATAGCCTAATTGTGTTTGTAATGTTTGTAAATATTTTGCTTTATTTACCGGTGTTTTAGCCTACATTATTTCTGAATGATAATAATAATAATATATTAATAATAAAATGCGACGTACAGCCTACTAATTTAGGCTGTTTTTTCCTCTCAAAATGCTCTTATAGAAGTAGCATTTTTTTAATCCATGCTGCAAACATTTTTAAATATCTAGAAAAAATAGGCCTACTTTAATGTCTTTAAAGCGTTGACAGCATTTTCTTTTGTTTAATGCATTTGGCCAAAATCTAGAAAAGATTATGCTGTATTGGCTATGACTAAGCACAAGGTTTTTTTCTTTCTTTTTGAGCAAAGAAAACGCTGTACTTTATTAATTATTATTATTATTATTATAGGCAAAGAAAAAGTTTTTAAAATAACGTTATTAACCAGTATTTTTTCTACTCAAACCGGTTTCGGAATGGTAATAATACAGAGGAACGCAGGAACAGAAACGTTCAAATACCAATTCTGCTCGGAGTGAACCGATCGATTTTTTTTTCTTCTGGTTTTTAACCCCTACTTTATGCAAATGACCAATATCGGTATTGGTCAGTAGTTGCTTGTTAAAATCGGTATGGCAAAAAAATCCTATCGGTGCATGCCTAATATATATATATATATATATATATACACACACACACATACATACATACACACACATACAGCATATATACACTGTATATAAACTTATTTTAGGATTTAGTCAATATAATAGTATAATTCCTTAAAAAAAAGCCCAATTGAATTGTGTGTGTGTATTATATATATACACACACATATACAGTGGGTACGGAAAGTATTCAGACCCCCTTAAATTTTTCACTCTTTGTTATATTGCAGCCATTTGCTAAAATCATTTAAGTTAATATTTTTTCCTCAATTATGTACACACAGCACCCCATATTGACAGAAAAACACAGAATTGTTGACATTTTTGCAAATTTATTAAAAAAAGAAAAACTGAAATATCACATGGTCCTAAGTATTCGGACCCTTTGCCCAGTATTTAGTAGAAGCACCCTTTTGATCTAATACAGCCATGAGTCTTTTTGGGAAAGACTGTATATATATATATATACACACACACACTAGGGGTTGAATGACTTCTGATTTTTTTTAAAGTCGACTTTTATGTGATGAAATTCAAGTAGTCGCTGATGACGTCATTAATGAACAAATAAGTCTGGAGTTGTGATAAACACCTTGTGCACAGCTATGGCATATGACACAGCGCTGCCCACATGGCTGTTGCTCCTATAACAGCTCATTTTTAACAGTTCTTTTGTCTTTGAGTCGTTATGTTTCTCAGATTTCTGCTCATTCTAAATCAGATACAGATAAAGTAGCACAGTAAAGATTACATTCATATGAATGCATTAGTGAGAGCGATTGCGTGTCTGAATTAATTCCACCTGGCAGCGTTTCTCTACTACTAGTGAAGCTGTGGAATTTAGTTATTAAGAAATATATGCTTGAACTTTTCAGTTTCAAAGCTATTTTATTGAGAAATCACAGAACAGTATTGACAATACATTTCCGCGCTGAATGATTCTGTGCGCGTGATTTACGAGCTACTGTCTGTAATGTGTGCGCGTTACAGTGCAGCAGTGCATTCTATTAGAACGGCGATTAACTTACCTGTACAATAAGCTGTTTAAAACGTGCATTCTCCCGTTCAATTTCGAGCATCCAGTAATATAATCTCATGTCTTGTGGAGCGCTTTCAGAGTATGCATTTATTTGTCATTTGAACTGTTTGGAAATGGAGCGTAAATGTGGAAGCCCTTTAAAGATTTCTTATCCTGTTGCGCCCTCTATAGGACCAGCAACTAGTCGACGTCAAGCTTAAAGCATCATGGCAGAGCATTGAAGTCTGACTAGTGGGTGCAACCCCTAATACACACACATACATACATATATACACACACATACATATATATATGTATATATATATATATATATATATATATATACACACAATTAAATTGAGCTTTAAGGAATTATACTTTTATATTGACTAAATCGTTAAATAAGTTATAGTAAAACAAACATTGTTACAAAATATTCCTCTTTCAAATAAATGCTGCACAAAAATCACAAATATATTAAACAGTTTTCAACATTGATAACAATAAGAAATGTTTCTTAAGCAGCAATATTAGAACAGCATATTCGAATAATTTCTGAAGGATCATGTGACACTAAAGACAGGCATAATGGCAGCTGAAAATTCAGCTTTGCCATCACAGGAATTACACTTTAAAATACAGCAAAATAGAAAAGTTATTTTAAATTGTAGTAATATTTTGTATTGTATTTTAGTGCAGCCTTGAGCATAATAGGCTTTATTCAAAAACATTTTTAAAAATCTTAGGACCCCAAACCTTTGAATGGTATTGTATATTATAAAGAAATAAAATAGTTAGGTAACTAAATGGAAAAAATTAACAATCATTCTCTATTGTGGCTGATGGGCAATAGAAAGATCATTTTAAAGCCTGTTTGTAAAAAAACAAAAAACAAAGATAAAGGTTTATGTTTACATGTGTTACCTGGTAATCTGAGGTCATGATCAGGCCACTTGAGGTAGTAGTGGGCGGAACCACTCTCACCTTCTTCAGAGGTGGGCCTTGTGCGTGGCTGTTGTCAGGGTTACCTGTGTGCCCCGCCCCATTGGTGTGGTTGTTCCCCTGCTGCTGCTGGTTTTTCTGCAGTTGTAGAAAAGAAAGAATATTGCAATTCATAAAAATGATAAATATCACAGCTCTCAATTAAAAATGTAATCTAACTACATAAGATGCAGACCAAATGAATCACAAATAATTTCTTAACCGATTACACTGAGAAAAGCCTCTAAATTTTGTTTCTTAAATAACTGTAAAAAATTAAAAATTAAATGGTCAACAATATATTCACAAACACAGAAATACTCAAAAGCAGAAAACACACATTTCTTACTTTATCTGCCTTGTCTTCAGGCTCCTCTTCCGTCAGGAATTCTCGTTTGGGATAAGGAATCTGGCAGCCAGCGAAGACACTAAACAAAACACAGCTTTTTAAAATATTTCTTAAATAACATCTTATGCAATATAGCTCTGCAGTTGACCTAATTTCAGTGTACATGCTGTGTATAAAAAAAATACAGAAATCCTAATTATAATAATTCATGCAGAAAGCTGATTTTGCGCTTAAAATCACTCACTCAGATGTGGGTAAAGGCTCCTCCAGGAAGTACGGGTCTTGCATGGCCTGCTCAGATGTGATTCGGCGGATGGGGTCCATAGTAAGCAGCTTTTGCAGCTGAAAGGGAGTTCATAAGTTAACAGCTGAATATATGAGAACGAATATATGAGATTTGCAATTCTATTCGCCCACTTACCAAGTGGAATGCTTTGCTGTCAGGTTTGACTTTATGTTTCTCCATATACTTTATAAGGCTGCAGTTAGTGTACCTACAGCAAGAGGGACAATCACCATCAGATCAAAAACCCTAATCAATGAAATGCAGTCAAAGATGAAATCAAACTAACGTATTCCTCCTAAAGTCTTTCATCAATGTAGAGTGTTCCGGCATCTTCTTAATGTCCTCCCAGTCTTTATCTGAGAAGAAAATTAGATTACAAAGATTATCAGGAGGACAATTGACTGAACTGAAGCATTGTGAACTATAAACTGAACAGCTGAACTGTAACTGCAAACATAAATATTTAAAAGGGGTCCTATTATGCTTTTTCACTTTTTTAATTTTAGTCAGTGTGTAGAGTGTATGTTTGGGCATAAAAAAGATCTAGAAAGTTACAAATCTCAAAGTCCACTCCAAAGGGAGATATTTAGTTTTTAAAAAATCCATTTTCAAGAACTACAGCAAACGGCTCGTTTGGACTACAGCGTTTGGTTTCCGGGCTTTGTGATATCACAAAGCGGCTCATTAGAATTTCATTACAAATAATTCCCGCCTACAGAAATTCGAATGGTTGGGGGGTGGGGAGGGGCGAGGTTGTAAATTATGTGAAAAATAATGCGTTTTTCGAACCACCAAGCATGAGAGCATGTTCTAGTACACCCCCAAAACAAAATCAAGACTTTGTAAAAGAGCATAATAGGATCCCTTTAAGTTTTCTCCCCATTTAATTTTATTTCAATTATTTTTATTATTATTTTATTATATTAAAAATTAACATTATTTTTTACAGTTTTACTTTTAGTTAACAATAACAACATTGTTTGGCTTCGAAAATTTTATTACATTTATTTTCTCCCAAAATATGTTTTCCTTAAAAGTACAAAAACTCATTAAGAGGAATCAGGATTATTAAGTTCCATCCTTACACACATAGAACTAGGGCTGCAAGATAATGCGATTGTCATGCGCATTTTGTTAAAAAAAGCCGGTTCTGTAATCAGCAGGAAATCATCATCACGTGCTTTCAGATGGAGCAGAATTTACTACACATAGCCGTAGTTCATGGACAAGTTACGCAAAAAAAAAATTATAATAATTTATCGCAGACGATTTTATTGCGCGATTCTGAAATCGAAGAAATCGTTTGCGATAATGACAGCTGTTTGCATAGCTTCTCAGTGACCTACGGCTCTGTGAAGTAAATGCTGCTCCATCTGAAAGCATGTGAAAATACCACATTTAATGACATTTTTACTCCAAACTCACTTCATAACGTCAGTCGAGTGTTTGAAATAAATCCTTCTGTGAGATAATGTGGCTTCTTACACAGAATAAGGCACGCAACATTTCATAGTATTTAAGCAGTGATAAAGGCATTGCATTATAAATATACTTTATTTTAATGAAAATTATAATAAGAACTCAGATAAACCGTATATTGCCGTAGTCGTGTGTTTATTAGTCACGTTGAATCAATGAAAGCAGTTGAATCTTCTGTTTATTCAGCTGCAGCCATAGGCATTTTCTGGGATTCTTCTGCGAGGCGTATTTGGAGTTTCAGCGCGAGAGCACCCTCTGGCCTTTAGATGGAGATTTACTGCTGATCACAGAACCGTGCTTCACTGAAAGATACACAGGACAATCGCAGCTCCCGTCGAATCGCGATCTCGATTCCATTTCGATTTATTGTGCAGCCCTACATAGAACCTTACAAAAGTCTCAAAGTTTTCACTGAATCATCTAGATTTAAGTGTCAAGTGGAAGATGAATACCTGCAGGAAAGCCCATGACATTAAAGATCCGGTCCAGCTGATCGTGATGGTAGGGATTACTGGTCTTAATGTCCTCCTGTCGACAGTGGAAGATAGGCTCTGAGGTCAAAAGCTCAGCAAAGATACAGCCAATCGCCCAGATATCTGAAGAAAAGAGAAAGTCATTAAATCTAAAATGCACATTTAAAAATGTGCATTTGTGCACACACACTCATAAAGAAACATCTTACCGATGGCTTTGGTGTAATGCCTGGCTCCCAGCAGCAGCTCTGGTGCTCTGTACCAGAATGTAACAACTACAGGATCCAGATCTGCTAAAGGCTTCAGTGGTGAGTTGAAGAGCCGTGCAAAACCCATATCAGCTGCATATAAGAGACAGAATTTTAAAAACGGTTATGAATGTGCATCAAAACACTCAGATGCACACATTGGGCCTCATTCATGAAACATTCTTAAATATATGAGTAAATTCTGAGTAATTTACGCATAAACCGGACCTTCCCGAAAACTCTCCTCCGGATTATAGTTAAATGTGTGTATATCAATGAATTCCAATCATTCGTAAATAGGGCGCGCATGCATGCTCATTCACAATTAGCATATTCCCTGCTTATGAATTACAGCTACGCAAATTACGCATCTAGGAATGGTGTGGAATCCTTGGACTCAATTCTCAGGTTTGGTAAGTTATATAGCATAAATGCATAAGAGACTAATAGGCTATATGCCTAACAATAAATGAATAAATTAACGTGTGTCTACCAGAGCGTTTTTAGCCAGCTTACATAATGCCTGGTGCTCTTCTGAAAACGACCAGCTGGTGGTGCTTGAGAGAGCTTTGGAGGCACTGCATTTTTCTGGAGTGAAGGTTGTTTGCTATGATTTGGAATATTCATGGCAGTAACATGTTACGAGTATGTTATTTTGAAGAATATTACTGAATATAAAAATACAGTAACCAGCAATATTAACTTCTCCATTGTTGTGTTGTACAAGTATGATCATGGTTGGTTAATGTAATGTTTGTCCCGCCCCTCCTCCACTGTGATTGGACGACTGTGTAAAAAGGGACAGTGACGAGCTCAGTGTTTTACCCATAGACTGTTTTACCCAAAGTTAAGAGTAAAAAACTAAAAAAGACAGGGCAAATAAACTCATTAAATATCATTCTAATACATAGTTCATGAATCCGAAAATTTACATCAGAACGACTTTCCGAACGATTTACACAAAAAATCGTTCTGCTCGTGTTTCATGAATGAGGCCCATTATCTCTTCTGTTTGTCACAAGAGGAAGGAAACAGAGCTGATGTCATACCTATCTTCACACGTCCTCTTTCAGGACCTTCTCCCATTACCAATATGTTGGCAGGTTTCTGTGGTGAAAGAGTCAAAGTTCAGAGTTGTAACACTTCCTCGCTCATTTCATTGTGATAACTGATGCTGTAACTTTTGCAACTTTTGTGAACAGGATGCGTTAAAAAAAAAAAAAAAAAAAAAAAAAAAAAAAAAAAAAAAAAAAAAAAAAGACCTATACTAAATTACGCTTGGTTCCATTAGCATTAACCTTTTGCAAGAATTTCTTTATATTTTTTTTAGAATTCTTCATTCATGCATTATTTGGCAACAGTATGTATAAATACATATTTATAAATATTCTGAATTAAGGCCCATTCACACCAGGAACGATAACTATAAAGATGACGATAAAGATACAGTTGTAAAAATCGTTCTCAATATTAAAGAATAGCAGAGTCCACACCACAGCTATAACGATAAAGGCACAGAGAAACAATATCGTTGGAATCACTTCCAGAACGATTCTTTCCAGCTGATGAACGATAAAAACATTGACAGCCAATCAGAATCAATCCTGCTATAACAAGCTGGAGAATTTAAAGCGGCAGATGAACATGCGCTTAGAATAACCAGATGATATTGTCCGCTTGTGTGGACGCTAATATAGTTGCCTTTATAGTTATCGTTCTTGATGTGAACGGGCCTTTAGCCTTTATTTTTACGTTAAGGTTTAGTCATTTAGTTGTGCTTGTTATTTTAATTTTTTTTTAAATTCCTATTTAGTATAATTTTATTTAATTATTTTAATACATCAACTTATTATTTTATTTAAATTCAATTCAATTATTTTATTTAAAAAAATTAATAGTTTTGCTTTTAGTAAACCATAACACCACAGTTTGGCATATAAGTTACATTTAATTTCCCCCCAAATATTTCATCCTCAAAATAAATCAATCAAATTAAAATAAATAAATAAACAAACCAGAATTAATAAAGAAATAAAGAAACCAGACCAGAATTGTTAAATTCTATCCTTACATCTGTTATGGCAAAAATATATTTACAAATTATTTTATAAATGCTGCCACCTAATGGAAATTGTCATGGGATTTCTAATAATCAGCCAAGTATTAGAACATTCTACTCCGTATAGGAGATCATGATCCGCACTCACGAAAACAGTCGTCTTTTTTCGATTTATTTTATATTCATCGTTGATTTGTGTCTTTTCCCATCAACGATGAATGTAAAATAAAACAAAAAAAGAAGACTATTTTCGTGAGTGCAGATCCTGATCTCCTATACCAAGTAATTTAACAGATTTACGCACCAAAATAAAAAGATTAAGTGACGGAAGAGTGCGGTGCAACCAGCGTTGTAGAACAACATTCTACTCAGTAAAATGTTTTGATCAAGATGATCACAAAAAAATATATAAACAAGTCAAATTAGCTACATCTGGATAGACATTTGACTGTTCAATATAACACACTGAACCTCACCAGGTCTCTGTGCAGGACCCAGTTGGCGTGCAAATAGTGGATGCCGTCCAGGATCTGGTAGAGCAAAGACTTTACCATCCCACGTGGCAGCTGAAGAGGCTTCTTATTGGCCTTGGAGGCCCTGTGGAACTTAATGATGTGCTACAAAGAAACATAGACCCTCAGCAAGATATGTACTGTATACAAACATTTCTGTGTGTGTGTGCATGAGCGTTTGATTGTATGTTACCCAGAGGTCATGTTCAGCGTAGTCAAAGAGAAGCCACACTTTGCGGTCTGCATGTGACAGGAAAACCTTCTGCAGTGAGATCACATTGGGGTGCTTCAGTTCACGCAGCAGCTGCAGGGAGCAAACAAGAACGAACACACACACAGACGCACATGCTGAGACAGACATCCTACAGAGCACCTTAAGTACACAAAATCACTTCAGCCTGAAGAATGCTTATTACAAAGATAGTTTGGCCAAAAATAAAAATTCTGTCATTGTTTATTCACCCTCATGCTGCTCCAAACCTTTATGACTAAGGAAGACAAAAGCAGAAATTTGGAAAAATGTGCTGGTTGCTCTTTTCCATGCAATTACAAAAAATGGAAATTGGAGTTTTAAAGCTTCCAAAAGGATACAAAACCATCATAAAAGCAGTCCATATGACTCTATGGCACTATATTTAATTCATATCAAACCAAATGACAGCTAATAATGTTCACCTTCACTGGACTACCAGACTAGTTGAACACAAATCAATGGCTGCATCCGAAATCACTTCTTTTGAATAAGTAATTTCTAAGTAAATGTTCAATATAGTATGAATGAATGCTTCATATAGTCATGCTGTCATAAGCGGTTTCCATCATTCTGTTTTTATGCGCAATTTGAATTATCACATCAGAAACGAGTGATGGAAACACCAAATCTATTAAAAATGCCTTAAATTGCAAAAAACAAGAGAATAAAATTACACCTGCTTTAGGTGGTTTTTAACTTGTGCAAAAAAGGGTTCATGCAAATAACGGGAGATGGAAATGCATTTTGATGCAAATGCGCATCAAAAAAGTCATACGACTTTGTGCTAACCAGCGGATCGATCTTGTTGCACAGCATCTGAAATGTTACGATCATTCTTAAATGTCTGAGCAAAGTATGTCGTCAAGTATTTCTGTATAATTGCCACCCAGAAATGTTACAGGACTGTGTTCCCAAACAGCAGGTATCCACATCCAAGAGCAATGACCGCATTTATATAGTAGAGAAGAATTCAATTTTGGGTGCAACCATTCAGCTACTTTGTGAACAGGATCCCCAAAAGTATGAGTTGTTTTTGAAACTGACAAAACTACTTTTAGAAAGTTTTTTTCTTAAAATTTCATAAAGCTAATCACAGATTTAACACTGTAAAATATCCACATGCTGCAAATATATTTCCAGGAACTTGTTTAACCAAGATGGCATGTGTCAGAGCTACTTGAAGAAGATCCTCTTGACAGAAACGCATTTAAAGCTTGATGTACTTACTGCTATCTCTCTGCAGGCGGACATAGAGATCCCTGTGCCTTCAATCTGCTTCAGAGCATAATCTTTGTCATCCTTCCTGCAAATATAGACATATAAGCAACCACAATTACTCTTCAGTACATTACATTTCCCTAAACCTATACCTACATATCACATTAAACCCCTTATAGAGAGAAAGAATCCACTGGGAAAGGCCAAGCAGAATTTAAGCAGATGATTTTGACCCTTTTATTACCAGAACACCTTCGAAAACTCATAAGTCTCCTGACGACTAATTCGAGGCAAGAGGGTAATGTTGAAATGAAGTCCCGCAAAAAACATCAGCCTATAAAATCCCACAACGCCCTGTCCAGTTTCTGGAGAAAAAATTAGCTGTAAACCACTCACAAACAATCAGCTTCTATGGTGAACAAAAACATCTTTAAACACTTAGGACCTTCAAGTGAGACTTTGGCCGCCAGGCAGTCTGGACTTTAATAGCCCAGCTTTGGGTCTGTCTGATGGGTCTCACTTAAAGCCCCGCACTTCAGAACCAACTTCCAGTAACTCATCAGCAGATCCATTCTTACTCCGCCATGATAGATATTTTACAATCGGTGTGAAAAAGATTGCTGCACCAGAACCAAATAATCATTAAAGAACATAACTAAAACAAATATCTTGTGATAGCACTAAATACAATTGCAAATTGGGAGGAATGCTATTTCAGCTGCCTCAACATGACCACAATTGTCCTGCAGACATGAGGGTTATTTTCTGTCAAGCTTTCCAAGCAAAAACTACCAATACAAGTAAAATGTAGAATGGATTTTTTTAGGTCTTTTATTTATTCCCCAAGTCGCAGCTCTAATTTCTAATCAATAAATGCAAAACGTTTAAGTCATGGTCGTTTCATTTCTTTCCAAGTGTAGGCAATTAAAACAAATTAAATTTAAAATTTAAATAGTTTTAATTGACAGCAGCTGGAATTAGAAAGTTAGAGACCAATTATATTAATTGTATTCTTATAATGGTTTAGTTACATTTTAACAATCAAAAAGGATGTCTAATGAATTGAATTCATAAAACTTTAAGAATGTATACATTTTTACAATAATAGGGCCTTATGAAATGTTGCTTTTTTTCTTTTTTAATTCTGTGTTGTCGGTTTAGATTTTTGTGGATTTATGATTTAATACAAAGAAGAATCAAAAATGGTGGCAAAGAAAAAATGCATTAATCTTTTAAAATGTAGTCAACTTAAGTCTGAACAATTTCTTTAACTTTTTTGGCAACAAAGTGCTGCACAACTGTAAACCTTGCTGTGCAGCTCTGTTGTTCAAAAAAGTGATATTGTGTGCTATTCCTTCAAAAATATAGTTTTAATAAAATAGTTGTTTTTGTTACTCTAAGTACATTTTAAAGTTAAACTGCATAACAGTCTTTTTTGTGGTTTAAAATTCACAGACACTAGTCCACATTGTAATTTGATTATATATAGTTTACTTCAATGTTGTTTAGATTTATTTATCTAACTTTTTTTATGACTGAATTCTGTGATTCCATCAGTGCTTTACAAACTGAAAAAAATAAAAATAAAAAAAATCACAGGACCCTACAAATTCAAAGGCCATCATGTGTTTGGCACAGTCTATTAGAAAGCCTGATAAATGTGTGTGTTTCAATTTCAGAAAATGTATAAAACAAAACTGTTAGAAATGATCTAATCCTAGAAGGTTACACTTGTCATACTGTTATTCTCAGCTCTTTGATCACGGTGTTTGAAGAGAATCATTTGTCCTTCTTTGGATAAAGAGCACAGGCAAATCCCTGTTTTTGTCCTTGTGTGAGAACGTTTTGGAGAATATATTCCTATCGGCAAGTTACCAAAAACATTGAGAGCAAAGAATTTCAATTCCCTTTTTCCCCAGACGGACTTCTAATAAAACAGACCTTCTAATTTTCCTTTGCATCTGTATTTTCAATGGTATATTCTACAGAAGAAACCTGAAAAAGGAGAAGAAACCTGAAAAAGGCTCAAAAAGATCCTCCTCTGAACCTGTGCAGTGCTATTCGCTCAACGCAAATATCTCAAAAGTGATGTCAATCACACCTGCAATGGATTCAAGGAGTTGACATGAAACTGGGAGACTTTACACAGCTGAGGTGACATGCATTTGCAAGGGAAAACAACAGAAAATTGAGGCTCTAAAATGTAAAGAAATAAATGTAACTGGTTTAAATACGAAAGTAGATGCAAGATTCCATTTGTTAACATTATTTAACATGAACTGACAATTCTGAAGCATTTATTAATCTTGCTAACATTTAATGGAAGTGGACAAACAAAGATGAATCAATTCTGTAACAAATATACCGCTCATTGTTATTTCATGCATTAACAAAGGGACCTTACTGTAAAGTGTTACCAAATTATAAACATTACAGTCGAAATAAAATATGAAACTATTCATTAGAATTCTCTGCCATGACAAAGGCAACATAAAAGGCTGCTCCTTTTACACTAGAGATGCTGATTTTATGCAACGTTGTGTATTTGAGCAGCCCTTTGACTAAAGCGGTTTAAGGATGCCATTAAGAACGTGTAGTTTTTGTTAGAGGTAAATATCGTTTACGTCATGACGAAGGAAAACAACACATGATGTTGCAAACCTAAATCTGCATCAAATGCACCTGTGCCCATCGTAACTGCATCAGCTCGTCAACCACAACAGCACTCGTGCCTGCTGACGTACATTCACAATCCCCTCTAAATAAGCCTCCACTGAAACTGTGAGCTCTCTCTTTGAAGACAAGAGACGTGGCTCTCTAAAACACCGGGCCGAGGGCGGATGACACACGGTCTGTTTCGGTTTGTGAGAGCAGAAGGCGACGGCAGCGCAGGCCTCATACCGCTGCACAAGTCAATCCTGCAAACTCACCCATCTTTCCTCTTTGCTTTGTACACATGGCCATATGTCCCCCGTCCAACTTTACATCCCTCGTACTCAAAGAGATCCTCGACTCGTTCTCTTTCCCCGGTGAGCTTCACTTTGAAATCATAGTCCATTTTCTCCGTTATTCTGGGGATCCGGGCTGTGGCTTCCCTTTAAAGCGCCGCTGGGGAGGCAACTTACTTCAAGCCCCGTTTAGACAATTAGTTGCCTTCCCTCGCGTCGCTTTTCCGCTCAGCGAAAGAGTCCACATTTACCGCGAGCAATTACGGGCAGCAGAGACGACGTATGAACCACGTGTGCTTCTGATCTGACAAAAAGTGCAGAGTGTTATCGGAATATCAGTCGCTTTCTTTGATATTTCTGTGCAACTGCGCCGCTCAGCCGGTATCTCACCCGGGAGAGTTGAGCGTCCACGTACGGTATGTCGCAAACCGTCGTGAACGCCACTACCAACCACAGACGGCGAGGAATGGGCTTTGTGGCGCACCACGTGGATTTTAACTCTTTAGAGCGCTTTTGTTTTTTTTTACGCATACGTTTTGTTTTTTGCAGTACATAAAGAAATGTTTATTAACAATATATATTTAACAACAACTTCACAAAGTGTAACGGGTTACACAGTGCAAACAATACGAAATAGTAGTATAATAAAACAAAATAATACAAAATGTTATCTTAACTATAAATATTACATTTATTAACAATAATATCGAATGCCAGTTTTGCTTTTACATTCATACAAAACACTACACTGTTATAGTTATTATATCATGTAACATTTGATGTTGTTCCGATAGATTAATAAATATATCCTCAGCCTTTTTTTAAATGAAGCATTTCGTTGCTCTTCCTACTGTTATTCTGACTATTTTAACCTTTATTAAATCTCTTCACATAACAAACAGGCATTATTGCTTGTAAACACAAACACACACACGCACGCACGCACGCACACACACACACACACACACACACACACACACACACACACACACACACACACACACACACATACATATATATATATATATATATATAATACTCTAAAATAATAAATACTAAAATATATAGAAGCAAATTATAACATTATTATTAAATTATATTTTGTAATTAAATGAAACTTAACAGCGGCTTAATCGACATATACTGCATTTAATATTGATTATATTATAATTTCATTTATAATGTTTTTTTATCATAATATAATGCAATATAGCTAATTTATGTATAAAAACACAAATTTAACAATGAAATAATATTGTGGATAAACGATCAATTAGCAACACAGCATTGCAGAAAAGAAAGGGAAAAAACTAGAAAGAAACGTTATCAATAAGTGCAATATAGTGTTGTTCCTGACACATTACTGTGGGAACTGGTTTTGCGCACGTGGTAGTTATCCGGACAGTTGTTTGTGTGGCTCCGTTGGTCCCATCTTGGCTACATTGTAATCAGAGCGGAGAGGAAAGAGAACTCGTCCATATTACAGCTGCTGTTTCAGGTACTTACATATCTATTACTAGCTTCGTTTCCTTATTTTGTTCTCAATCTGGACAGTGTTATTACATTTCATATTTTCTATTACGTTCTTGTGTCAGTGACATTTTCCCCATCTTGTCAAAATAATAATCTAAACCTTTCATTGGCCCACAGTTAGCTTGTCAGCAATCTGTCGACACCATCAAAGGTGTTGCGCATTTAAAATGACAGCTCGCTCCGCCGCTTGGTTTGCGTTTGCCCAGTGACAGGCGATGGTGACAGTTTAATGACTAATTTCAGTTGTGAATTTCACCCTGTGTAGAGTGCTAGCCTAGGCTTTTTATTGTCTCTGGTAGGTTGCTAGCTGACATGGAGCCCGACTTTTTCTTTGTCATGTCCCTCCTTTGACCGATGCTGAGTGGATAGTCTGGCTGTCAGTCATGGCTTCTCGGACGCTGATTGGTTGTGAGGCTGACAGCCCAGTTTTGGTGCCTTACTTGTTCTGCGGTGCTGTCTGTGGCCTACTGTATTATTACAGAGCAGCAATACTGTTTGAAATGACTGAGGTGTTATTCATATGAATTCATTTGACGCTATTGTCAACGTCACGTAGCTCTCGGTGTGTTTTGACTTGTGTCAAAGCCGTTTTGCTTCCATTTTAGGATTTAGGCGTATTGCCTCTCAGAGGCGTTCATTTTGTCGGGCTGTTTCCTAATGGTGGCTGTGTTTTAGACAGAGAGAAGTTTATACTAAGGCTATCCTTATGTATATCCAATATATTTTGAGTACGTTTTCTTGCTGTCTCATTTTCAGTGATTTATATGTGGAGCTGATTTCTATATTAACGTAGACCATAACTTCATATTTGTAAACTGATCATTGGCAGATTCTTGAGTGATTTATATATATATATTGCTGTCTTTATATATTCATGTTTTTATTGAAGATGAATAGTTGACATGAGATTTGTTAGGGAAATTATTATATCATATGATGTGAAATGTTATTGTTTCTTTTATAATTATTGTGCATGCAATTTTAATGACCTACTTGGCATTGCATTCTTATAAATGTATTTGCCACCACACAACCATAATATCAAAGTTGATTAAAATGGAAAAACTTAAAATATATGGTGAGCAGTTACAAGACCACATATTTTACACGTTCCCCTATAAACTGAAATATTAATAAGAGAAAAGAAAAGTTACACAGAACAGAGAAAAATCAATAACTGGGCAGGTTAAGTATCTATTGAACAATTTTTGTGATTTTTTTTCGTCTTGTAATATCTCTGAGCAGCGGTTTCTGTGGTGATGGACCCTCCCGGGGGCCGAGACGAGCGTCATCGTCAAGCGGAGCGGCTTCGGCGGGAGGAGGCATACTATCACTTCATTAATGAACTGAGCGAGGAGGAATACAGACTAATGAGAGACAGCAATCTACTGGGAACACCTGGTGAGAACACACCGAACCCGGTCGTATGCAAAGATGCATGTAGTTTCATTTACACAGAGAAATATGTAAAGCATTTTACAAAATGTAAGGTGTGAGGAAGTACTAATTTCCAAACCTATAGCCTTTTACTTAAATGAACAATAGATGGATATTAAATAGGGTGTGTCTTTGTTTGATTACAGGTGAAGTCACAGCAGAGGAGCTGAGGCAGCGTCTGGATGGGGCAAAGGAACGAGTGTCATCTCAGCCACGCCCTGAAACCCGCCCACAGAGCAGTGAGGCAGAGGGCAGTAGTGGTAAGGACATAAAGGGATGGTTTTGAATTCAGTTGCTCAGCTATATTAATATTTTTACTTTGAATGATCAGCTGGATTTGTATGCAATACACATGCAATTACAAAACAAGTCAGGATGCATCTGAGTTTTTTTAGCAACTGTGCAGCGGCATAAATCTTGGGGTTAAGGTTGTGATGATATATAGCTTTATGCAGCCATAGTAAAACATGTAATCTGACCCACAGGGGGCATAAATGTAACGTTAAACTTTGTTGCCAGTCCACATTTGGGATTCTTCTGAATGTAAACTACCATAATCTGGTAAGATTTTTCAAAAATGTCCTTGTCGATTCATCTTAGGTAGTGCAAGTAGAAACAACCCGAATTAAAGTAAATTGTTTCATTACGTACCCTTTTATTCATCAGTATTGATAAGAAATTGGTAATATACAATATTGATAAATAATTTTTTCTTTTCCAGGTGCAGTTGAGCCAGGTGCGGAAACATCTAATGGAGACTCCCTGTTGGAATGGCTGAACACTTTCCGGCGCACAGGAAATGCTACACGTAGCGGGCAGAGCGGTAACCAAACATGGCGTGCCGTCAGCCGCACCAACCCTAACAGCGGCGAGTTCCGCTTCAGTCTTGAGATCAACATCAACCATGAGCAACCCGAGCCTGGAGAACACAGCGACACCCCTGACCCGACTGAACTTCCAATGCCTCCTCCTCCTCCTCCTCCTCCTCCTCCTCCCCCAGTGTTGCCTGCCTCTGCACCCACAACCCCTTACAACCCCTCAAGGTCTGCACCTTATACACTTCAACACCCCACGCCATACTCTACAGCCAGGCCCACCCTGGGAAGGAGGGCCGCGGTGCGCCGCACTCGCAGTAACACGGCTCTGCCTGTAACGCCACCTCTGACCTCACAGGCTTCTCCCACAGCTCTTAGGAGGAACTTGCCTTCTTTGCCAAGCTCTCCTCCTCCACAGGCTCCACTTGCTTTTCAGTCACAAGAGCAGGATGGTGGTGCCGTAAGGGGTCAAATACAGGTCACAACCTCCTCAGTTAACACAGGGGAGGGGCAGAATGGAAATGAAGGCCCAGACTGCCCCACCACTCTGCCTCAGTCCGGCCCCCAGGTGGCGCCGGCTGCCCGTGAGCCACGAAACAGCAGGACTCGTTCACGTGGCCGTGTGCGCCGGGCAGCAGGAGCTGGTGGGGTTTTGTCTCGCTCTTCGAGACGTAGTCGCTCCCCCCTGGACAGAAACCCCACCTCCAATGTTAGCCCCACCCATAGCAGCAGCGCCGCCCCAGTGGAGTCCACCGGAAGTACCGCTGTAGCAATGGAAATGGGCGAGGCCACTGTAGAGCCAGCTGCTCCAACAAATCCTCCGGAGGCAGGTGAGGAAGAGGGGGAGACGCCTGTATCAGGTGCTGGAGGTGTGCGGCGCCACCCCACTATCATGCTGGACCTCCAGGTGCGGCGCATCAGGCCGGGTGAGAACCGGGACAGGGACAGCATTGCCAGTCGCACTCGCTCTCGTGCTCGGGCCGCCGAGAACACAGTCACCTTCGAGAGCGACAGTGGTGGCTTTCGTCGAACCATCTCGCGCTCGGAGCGTGCGGGAATCCGCACTTACGTTAGCACAATACGAATCCCTTTGCGACGCATTTCTGAGACAGGTCTTGGTGAGCCTAGCTCGATGGCGCTGAGATCTATCCTGCGCCAGATCATGACCGGCTTCGGTGAGCTCAGCTCCCTCATGGAGACGGAAGCAGACTCGGAGACCACCACTCCCAACCAGGACACCGCTTCTGCTGGTGGAGCCCAGGCGTACCGCGCTGGTAGTGGTGAGGGCGGTGTGGCCCATGGCGGAGTAGAAACGGCACGAGAAGGTTTAGTGGCAGGTGAGGAGGAAGGACAAGTGCGGGTGAGCAGGACTGGGACGGAGGGACGACCTAGCAGCAGGGACACTAACAGCTTGGTGGAAAATGGGACATTGCCCATCTTAAGGCTGGCGCACTTTTTCCTTCTCAACGAAGATGAAGACGAGGAGCACCCAAGGGGCCTCACCAAAGAACAGATCGACAATCTGGTCACACGCACTTATGGTCAGGTCAACCTGGAGGGCGAGCTGGGCCGCGCTTGCAGCGTTTGCATCAATGAGTACGCTCAGGGCAACAAGCTGCGTCGCTTGCCCTGCGCTCACGAGTTCCACATCCACTGCATCGACCGCTGGCTATCTGAAA